CTTCTCCTATCGCCAGTAAAAACTCACTTACCTGGCTAATAATGTAAAGTACTATAAAAGTTCTCATACGTTAGTACCGTAATATCACTTTGTTTTAACTTCCCAGACATTTAAGTGTTACGATGAGCTCTTCGTGGACTACGGAGGAAATAGATTTACTAATAGGATTAGTACAAGAACGTCTTGATATATACGACCAATCTCGTCCGGGCCATTCTAACCTGACAATTATGGACAATTGTTGGAGTGAAATTCGGAGTCATTTGCCATCTAAAACTGGTTAGTTATTTTTCGTCATCCCATACTGTTATTTCAATTTAACTCATCTCATTTGACAAGTGAAATGTCATTCGTAACGGACGGCGTCCGTTAAAAAATAACGGATGCGTATGCGGCCGTTAAGGAACAATGCTTTATTGAAATATATATAAACAACTAGGTAGGTACTTATTATAATGGATATATCAAAATTAAAGTGACAGTTATTGCTAGAAATCTGTAGACCATCGTAAGAAACTTGAAGACCACTAGCACCTGTGGATATTACCTACACTTGATGAAGAAGCTGTGGCTATGGATGTTGTAGTTTCAGCGTTTCCATCGGAACTTTGAAATATTTGTTTGGTGATTTTTAATCGCTTCGAAACTTTTGTCCATAATGAATTGGGCGATTTTCCCTTTACGTACGCTAATCTCTTAAGGCCGCTGCACAATTGACGGAACGGGTACGATACGAGTACGATACGGTTACGGAATGAAACATAAAGTATACGAATTCCCTGTAAGCATGCACAATACGGTTCCGTACCGCGAAGGCTACGGGAAGGATACGTAAAAGTTGGTGAACTTTTATCTTTCCCTGATCAGTATCGTCGTGTTCATGCGCATTTCCAGCGTCCAGCTACCAACCTCAAATTGACAGCTGACTGATTTTATTTGTTTTTGTGTAACCCACGATGTGTTATTTTGTAAATAAACTTGGAAATGGAAGAAAGAAACAGCGACGAAATTTTAATTTCTTGCGTTGAGGGGTTTCCTCATCTTTATGATAGGAAAAATAAAAACTATATGAACGAGAAAATGAAGGAGCAATCTTGGATAGAGATTGCAAAAATTGTTGAGCTATCTGGTGAGTTAATAAAATTATTTTAAATTATATAAAATCAACATCATAATTATTATATTTTAGTTGAGGAAGTAAAAAAAAGATGGTCCCAGTTAAGGGATAGATTTGTTAGAGCACACCGTTCTATGAAGGAAGTAGTTCCTTCGGGATCAGGAGCCATCACAAAGGAACCAAATTTTCCATTATATAGTGTAATGATTTGGTTAGCTCCTTACCTTAGAAAATCAAAGTATGTATTTAGTGGTACTTAATTTTATTTATTCACTACTAGCCTTAAAACGTATAATTAGTAGGCTGGTTTTCGATGCGAGATTTGATTTTTCTCTCCCTTGTCAGATTTGTTTCTCCTACTAGGAGATAATATGCTGTTTTGGCTACCTATATTCAGGCTGACGCGTCTCGGGAAATCATACTGTTCGGCTTAGTAAACTGTTTTCTCTACTTTGGTGTATAATTACTATTATTTATTAACGGGTATTCCCTAATGTAACAATGAATTAACAGTAAATAAATTCAGATATAATATAGGAGTATTTATTGTTTCAGATTAACGTCTTCAGCAGTGCCTGCCAAAAAAATACTTACCAATCAAAACGAAGCCATAAGTGTAGAAATTCAAGAAGATAATGCAAGAGATGATGTACTAGTAGTACATGGTCTTGAAGAAATAGTAGGTTTTGAAGCATCATCAGAACTGATGTCACCAACATCCAGTGAGCATTCATATTCAAGTACCCCCAAACCCAGTGTTAGTAGAAAAAATACCATGCAGGAGTCAATGCAAATGGCAGCAGCTAATTTTTCCAAACTATTGGAACAGAAAATGGAAGCCGAAAAAGTGAATAACGGCGATATGCATTTTATGAAGTCTGTTTTGGCAGATATGGCCGTAATGTCTCCGAGCAACAAAATGAATTTTAAAAAAGGCATTATGGAGCTATTAATGAAATATTCGGAAAATGAAGCAAAATAGAAATAGTATTTTACATTATTAGCCAGGTAAGTGAGTTTTTACTGGCGATAGGAGAAGTTGACTAGCGAGCCGTTAGGCGAGCTTGTCATCTCCTAGAGCCAGTAAAAACTATTACCTGGCGTATAATGTACAATATTTTATTTGTTACTCATTTGTAAACAATAGTAAACGTAAATAATTAGTTCTTAAATTGATCTTGAAGAAATATCTAAAATATCATGTGATCCATGTAACAGAGACTTCGCATTAATTCTGGCCAATGAAATTACTAGATTACTAACTTGTAAAATTTTTACAGGTCTGCTGTCAGTTTTACAAGTCAGTAGCGTTTAAACATGACGTTTACCCGTTTGCGTTTTGTCTTGTTAATCAACGTTTACAACTGAGTAACAAATAAATACTTTTTCCTCAGTGAACCGCATTTTACAAAAAAAT